GAGAGAGAGAGAGAGAGAGAGACAATATACAAGTGTACCTCTGTGAATATATATATATATATATATTTACAGGTATATATACATATATAATGCATAGAATGCATATTCTGCATATGTACGGGGCTAACAGGGCTGAAGAGGTATCTGTGAAACGCAGAAAGACGCGAAGTGCACCTGTTGAAATATTCTTTGACGGTGCTTGATTTTGTTTATTTATTTCATTATTAATTAATTTTATTCCTTTAAATATCTTTCTCTGCACAACTTTATTTGTATTTTCGGGTGTCTGTACAGGTACCCACTGGAGATGTAGAGAAAAGAGAAGACAATTTTTTTTATTTTGCCCTATAAATAACGAAAATAAATTTAAAAATAAAAAATAAAATCATTAATTATTATTCTACAGATGAATTCAATAGCTAAGCTGCGTCTTAACGGCAAATACACCGCAGCAACGCCTCCTGCTGCAGCTTCAACTCTGCTGCATGTACACCTGAAAATAACCTGAAATTAGTTAAATAGAATATTATTAATACTTTTCAACATTTTAATAATCTTTTTATTTATTTAATAACACCCAGCAACCCCCAACTAAGCCTCAGGGGGCCCCACTTCTCTCTGCTGCTGTTCTGGCAATTGCCTCCGGCTCTTTGATCTTTAAAAGAAAGAAGGCGTTATTGTTGTTTATAAATTCATTTTGTTTTTATTGCGTCTTGCAGTTATAGCGATTTATTAATGACTACCAGCAACAGCAACGGCAGCAGCAGCAGCGGCAGCAGCAGCAGCAGCAGCAGTGGCAACAGCGACAGTAGGCGCATTTGCTGCTGCGGCATCAGCCGGTGCTCCCTGTGCCGTCTGCCTGCTGGGGTCCTTTTGCTGCTGCTGGATCTGCTGCCTGCAGCAGACCTCTCTGCACTCTGCTGCTGCTGCTGCGCTGCTGCTGCTGCCTTCTTACCTTTGGTCGCCCTCCAACGGCTGCAACGGGACTTCGGGGCTGCACGGCTACCCTTGCAGCTCCCACCTGCGTCAGCAGCAGCAGGAGCTGCAGCTACCTCAGCAGCAGCAGCAGCAACAGCAGCAGCAGCAGCAGCAGCAACAGCAGCAACGGCAACAGCAGCAGCAAGGGCAACAGCAGAAGCAGCAACAGCAGCATCACCACAGCTAAATGCTGCTTCAGAAGAAGTTCCCATTGGTGGAGCCCCACATGGGGCTGCACTGCAACAGGGCACGCCTGCCTTCCATAACGTGCAAGAAGGTAAAAGCAACAGAAGCAGCAGCAGCAGAAGCAGCAGCAGCAGCAGCAGCAAATACGATAGAAGTACGTTCCGATGCAGCTGCTGTCTCCCCGAAGCAGCCATAGGAGGGAATGCCACAGCTGAGGTGTACAGACAGCTCTGCATTAACCGCGAGGAGAACCTTCGGCGCCTCGAAGCTCTTCAGTACGGGCAGCACATGAGCAGCAGCTGCAGCAGCAGCAGCGGTAGCAGTAGCAGCAGGAGTAGTAGTGCCAGCAGCAGGCTTCATGCAGCAGCAATAAGACCCGCCGCCGTTCGAGATTGCGTCGCTGCTGCAACAGCAGGAGAGGCCCCCGCCTCTCGGGTGGTCCTCAACACATGCGCTGCAACAGCAGCAGCAGCGCCAGCAGCAGCAGCAGCACCAGCAACAGCAGCAGCAACTGGAACAGGTCCTTATGGCGCATGCATTCTGCTGGAGTCTGACCAACTCGTTGCTCCGTGCATGGCCCCTTTTGTTTTCTCGCGCTGCAGCAGAACCCCTCCTGCTGCAGCAGCAACAGCAGCAGCAGCAACAACAGCCCCAGCGCCAGCAGCAGCAGCAGCAACAGCAGCCGGAGCAGCAGCCGGCGCTCCGATTAAAGAGTTGCTGGAGTGGCATGTATTCGGGTGTCTCTTCTTCCCTGCTGCAGATGAAGGGACTTCAGCTCTCCTCGTTGCTGTTGATGCTGGGCGGCGGCCCACTGCAACAATGCATGCGCTGCAGCAGCAGCAGCAGCAGCAGCAGCTGCAACAGCAGCAGCAGCAGCAGGAAGTGATGCTGCAGCTCTTCCATTTGTCTAGTCTCCGTGCGCAAAAACTTGCAGCAGAGATACCGCTAGGGGACCTTGCACGCATTACTTGCTGCTGCTACATACCAAGGACTGTCCTGCAGCAGCAGCAGCAGCAGCAGCAGCAGCAGGGCGAGCAGCAGCCGTCTATGGCCCCTATTCAAGAAACGCTTGTTGCTGCATGGGATGCCACCGCGAAACGCTTGATTATAGTGCAGCTGATGCCTTCATATGAACAGCGGCCTCAACAGCAGCAACAGCAGCAACAGCAGCAGCAGCAGCAGCAGCAGCAAGGACAGGGCTTCAGGTCAGAAGCACTTGATGGCCCTGCTGCCTGGCCATTCGTTCGCCGCAGCCCAGAAGATCAGGTTCTTGATGCTTCCGCAGCAGCAGCAACAGCAGAAGCAGAAACAGCAGCAGCAGCAGCAGAAGCAGCAGCAGCTGCTTCTGGCCTTCCTTTAAGCAGCAAGTGGCTGTACATCCCGCTGCTACCTTCGCGCCCCAACGGAGCCCCTCACCCAATTTGCATGCAGTGGGTGCTGCCTCGCTGTGTTGCAGCAGCACGTGATAAGCAGCAGCAGCAGCAGGATCAGCAGCAACAGCAGCAGCAGCAGGGTTGTATATGGACACGAAGGCTCCCCCCGCTGCTTGTTGGGTTCTCGGATTGCTCTGTCTCGCTGCTGCTGCTCCCGGAAGCAGCTGAAATGAAGCTTCTCGGCCCCACAAGGTGAGGCAGCAGCAGCAACAGCAGCAGCAACAGCAGCAGCAACAGCAGCAGCAGTAGGTAGGCACAAGCAGCAGCTGCATCAACACACTGCTGCTCCTCGTGCCTGCCAGCTGCTGCGGCATATAATCCAGCTGCTGCTGCTAAAGAAAAGACCATGTTGACTTGCGAACAACAGGGGTTCTGTGGTACTTAGGGTTTAGGGTTTAGGGTTTAGGGTTTGTGATGCAGGAAGGGAGCTCCACGTCTTTCGGAGGTCGTTGACGGTCGGGGCCTCTGCAGCTGGGATGACTTGCTGCTGCTGCTGGATTTTGAATGCCACTGCAGCAACTGCAACAACAGCAGCAACAGCAGCAGCAACAGCAGCAGCACCAACAGCAGCAACAACAACAGCAGCAGCAGCAGTAGTAGTAGCTGTCTTCGCGTATTTTTATTAACGTGCTGTGAAATCGCTGAGGTGGCAGCAGCAGCAACTGCAGCAGCAAGAGGGACTGCAGCACCGGAGGTTGCTGCAGCAGCAGCAGCAACAACAACAGATACGGCGGAAGCATCAGCAGCAGCTATTACAGTTGCAGCTGATGATGCCACCGATCAACTTTCACTTGAACTGCAGCAGGTAAGGGCAGCAGCAGCAGCTGCAGCAGCATCTGCAGCAGCGGACTGAATTGTTTTGCTGCATCTTCTCTAAACGCTGAAAAGTCGCCGCATGCGCAGCAGCAAGAGCAGCAGCAGCAGAAACAGTACGAGTAAACAGCAGCAGCAGCGGCAGCAGCAGCAAGTGAGGGTGGTTGTGGTGGGGTTTGTCCTGTGCTGCAGCTAAACTTCAATGGACAGACCGCCACCGTCACCCTGAGGAGCCCTCCTTGTATTTGCTTCCTCGATGTGCTTCACCGCACGCAGCAGCAACTGCAGCAACAACAGGAGCAGCAGCAACAGCAGCAGCAACAAAAGCAGGCGCTTGCTGCTTCTGTGTCTTTTCAGAGACTTCGAACTGCTGCAGCAAGGGCTGGGGCTTCCTTTATAGAGCCTCTGAACGACAGGGGGATGAACCCAGCAGCAGCAGCAGCAGCTGCTGCTGCTGCAGCAACACCAGGAAAGTTGGCAGCAACTAATGCCGCAGGCGCATGTTGGCTGCTGCAGTGGGGTGTATCGCCACCGGCTAATGCGGCGCTTGAATTTGCTGCTCTTTCGCTTTCTTGCTCGCAAAAGAACCGAAGACATCCAGCAGCAGCAGCAGCAGCAGCAGCAGCAACGGTGGTGACGCTGCAGCCCCGCCCATCTTGCTGCAGCTTGCTGTCTGTGGGGTGTGTGGCAGTTGATAAGCAGTGCTGCTTTTTTGCTGCTGAAGGATCTCCTGTCTTGTGCATGCATTCTATAGAAGGGGAGTCCCTCAGAAGCAGCAGGTTGAGGTGTATAGACACCCGAGCTGTCAACGCTCCAGGGCTCCTGGGGGCCCCCTCTCGGCTGTCTCCTTCGTGGCTTATAGGGAGACAGCAGGGAGAGGAAGTGCAGCAGCAGGCGCTGCGGCAGCTTCACCTTGTGGGGCCCTTCCTTGTCGTTGCAAGGAGACACGAGAGACTACAGCTGCTGCTGCTGCCGCTGCACTGCCAGCAGCAATCCAGCAGCGTTAGCCAGATGCAGCAGCACCAGCAGCAGGAGCAGGCAGAGGCGTCTACTGCTACTGCTGCTACTGCTGCTGCTGCTGCTGTGGGGCATAATTGACTGCATGAATTGAGGGAGTAGTTGTTCACCAAAAGAAGAAAATATTGTATTTGAAATATGCAAATCAGCAACAGCAAAACAATTGTTGCTGCAGTGCTGCAACAGCAAAACAATGGTGCAGGAGTTGCTGCTGCAGCAGTGCTGCAGCAGCAAGTCCCGCCGCAGCAGTGCTGGCTGCAGCAGCAACTCCTGCTGCAGCCTGTTGGCTTTACGGCCTCTTTAGGTGTACGTACACTTCACTACGCAGAGGAAGGAGCAAAAGAAGTTATTTTGTTTGCACCTCCTTCAATGCAGTATTATCATTCATTCGTTTTATTCGATGTCAAACATAAGGCAACATAATATATATATATATATGTATTTATTTATTTCTTGAATATAGGTATTGTAGTTGCTTTGTAATAGATTATAAAGGGATGTAAAGGTCCTGCAGCGCATGCGTCTTGTTGATGCCAGTCAGACGAAACAAAGAAAATGCCCGCAGCCGACAGTGGGTTTATATAACTCCCCTCTAAACGCGCAACGCCTTTCTGCATGCAGCAGTCGCTGCAGCAGCAGCTGCAACACTAGCAGCTGCAACACTAGCAGCTGCAACACTAGCAGCTGCAACACTAGCAGCTGCAGAAGCGCCAACAGCAGCACGCGGCAGCAACGCGAGAGGCTGCACCAGCAGTGGCAGCAGCAGCAGCAGCAGCAGCAACAGCAGCAGCAACTGGAACAGGTTTCTATGGCGTTGCAGCAGCAGAGGTAACCAGTATCTCTATGCAGTCGCTGTCGGCTGCTATTGTTTGTCGCGCAGGCGAATTCCTTTCCTGCTGCTGCTGCTGCTGCTGTTCATCTTTTTCCTACCTCCTGCTGCAGCAAATCTTCCTGCTGCTGCAGCATGCATAAGATACTACAAGCAGCAACCGTAGCAGCGGAAAAAGCAGCAGCAGCAGCAGCCCGAGCCAATGACACAGATGAGGACAACAATAATAATAATAATAAAATAACAACGAAATATTATTATTCTAATTCTCTATATTATTAATCTCAGCTTCAGGTGGGGGGCCCCCACGAGTACCCGCAGCCCCGGGGGGCCCCCAATGGGGGCCCCTCTGGTGCGCCTATAGAAAGCATTCTTCTTTAGTATTTGTTAAGTTAATTGAAATACTTTAAATAAAATTTTTTGCTCTGCTCTAGGATAAGCGCTGCAGCGGCAATCCTTGCTGCTGCCTCTGCTGCAGCGGCTGCTGCTGCCGCTGCTGCTGTTCTCGCTATTCCTGTTGCTGCTGTTGCTGCTGAGGCTGGCTGACTTCATATTGCCTTCTCAGGCGTAAAGTCTACAGAAACGAGAGGAGAGGAAACAGTCGGGAGATAGCCCGAAGTTGATGCACGAACAGCAGCAGAGACTGCAGCCGCAACCGCAACAGCAGTAATAGCTGCAACAACAGCAACAGCAGCAGCAACGGCAGCGGGAGTAGTAGCTGCAACAACAGCGACAGCAGCAGCAAGGGAAGCGGCAGCAGCAGCAACTGTTCCAGTAGTAGCAGCAGCAGAACCCGGTGCTCGCCTCATCCCAACCTCCTGAAACTGAGGAGAAACTGCTGCAACAGAATGCTTTCCTGCCTGTGCTGCAGCAGCAGCAACAACAACAGCAGCCGCAGTAGCAGCAACACGAGCAGCGGCAACGACGGCACCAGCTGCAGCAGCAACGGAATCCTCTCCAGCTATAGTCGTTAAGCATCTCTGAGGTGTATATACACCGCAGCATTCATTGTCTGTTGCCTTTTGCACGCCATGGGGTTTTGTGCTGCCGCTGACGCTGCGGCTGGTGCTGCAGCAGCAGAACCTGCACAAGAAACAGAAGCAGCAACAGCAGCAGCACCAGCAGCAGCAGCAGAAGAAGAGGACCCAGTGGTGTCAGAGGATCTCGTGCTGCTGGACTTTCCAGAGTTCTCCTTCGCCCCCACACTCATGCAAAGACAGCCAGCAACAGCAGCAGCAACAGCAACAGAAGCAGCAGGAACTGCAGCAGAAGCAGACGAGGTATATTCAGGAGCTTCCGCACAGGGCACGCAGGGGGCTGCGCATGGGGCAAGGCCGACACCAGCCACCGCTGCAGCAGAAGCTGCTGCTACAAACAAGTCAGCAGCAGCAGCAGCAGCAGCATTTTTGCGGCAAGAGGAACTGCAAGTGAAGGTGTGGGGGCTGGAGACAGACTCTCCTTTGATGCTGCTGGGGGATTTCCCCCTCAAAGGAGAACGCGAGACAAACCGCATGACTAGTACTGCTCTATTCAGAGTAGAAAAGCAACAAAAGCAGCAGCAGCAGCTGCAGCACAGCCAGAAGCAGCAACAGCTACAGACAGGTAGCAGCGGTACTGGAGCGGAGAACACGCAGGCCAAACTAGAGGGACTTGCTGCACAAGTTATTTCGTTCAAGGTTGATATTACTGCAGCAGCAGTTGCCGCTGCTGCCGCCAATACCGCAGCGAATGAAGCAGCTGCTGCTGCTGCCAGTAGTCCGGCTGCTGCTTGTGGAGTCCTCAGCAGCAGCAGCAAAGACAGCAGCAGCAACAATCTATAGGCGACAGCCCCTTAGGCTGCACGCAATATTGTTATTATTGCTATTTCGCTATCACAAGCTGTTATCTGAAGTAGCAGCAGCTGTGTCTTGCAGCAAATGCTGCTGCAGCTGCCGCTGCTCCTGGGCCAACCTTTCTGGGTGCAGCAACTCCTTGTTGCTGCGCTGCAGTTGATTTACCTTTTTTGCTGTTCATAGGTAGAGAGTTTAATGTTTGATCTGTAGCGAGAGGCTGTCCGTACGCCTGAATGCGGAGATGCCATATTGGTAGCTAGAAAAGGCAGCATACAGCATAGTTCATCCAATCGTAGAGGGAAGACTCGTTGCAGCTGCAGCAGCTGCGGCTGTACGATGGTTGTCAGCAGGATGCAGCTAGCCAGTTGCTGCTAGCAGGCTTAAAGTGACTCCACTGGCTAGCTAGCTAGCTACTTGGAAAAGGGTAGAAGTTGCGGCTGTGCGCTGCAAAGACCTGCCAGCGACACCAGACAGTATTCTTGCTGTGCTGCAGTTGGACTTGAATATCTTCTCTGCTAAAAGGGAATATCTCTGCCTGCCGCTCCCCTATATTCCTCTATTTTATATACATAGACACCTTCTCCAGGTGTCAAAGCCAGAACTGTATGACTTGCGTCGGTTGAGGTGGGCGGGGGCTGTTGACTCACCAACATATTAATGTTAAGCTGCTGAACTTCTTTGATAATTTTTGGTCAAATAAGCATAAATATGCATTTTGAAATGAATTAGATGAAACACAGCAGTTTTCACGGCGCAGATTTCGTAGGAAGCCTCTCCGTTGACGTGCTGCGGTAGGCAGAAGACGGGTGGGAGCCTCTCTTAGACACAACTGGGGCTGGACTTCTTTTTATTCCAGCGTGAGAGAAGTAGAAAAGAGAATTTGTGCCCAAATCCCAGCATTTGTATTTCTGAATGTAGTGCATTCATCGAGGATCGACCTGCTTCCCCGCATAAAATTCTGCTGTCACTGGAGGTGGCGGCATTGGTTGAAAGCTCCAGCTGCGATCTTCCAAAACAAATTCTGACCAGCCATTCACGAGTACTTCTTTCGCTTTTCTTTTTCTAAATAAGTGGAAATTTAGATTCAGTAAAGCTTTTTTTAACCAGCACAGTTTGCCCGCCGCCTCTGCCTGTTTGTCGGCCGTGGCTATGCAGCGGCGGCGGCACCTCGTTGGTTTTGAAGAGATGAAGTACGTGGTTTGCACATCTTCTTGAATTGAAAATGAAACTTAGGCTAAAAGTGTTTATTCTGCAATCGTGATCGCGTCCAGATCCAGACGACGTGGTCTGTATTCATGTTTCTTGTTGGCTGAGAAGAGCATCGGCGCCAGTCGCTGCCGCAGTTGGCGTTGGTCTTCTCTGTCTCAGCAGCTCTTCCTGCGCACTCTGTCCCATATTTTCAGTCTGTTTTCCCTTCTTGGAAGCCAAAGGCATTTGCACCTTCCTCGTAGCCTTCGAAGCAGACGGCCCTAGAGAACGCTGGGGCGATTGACATACACAAGCTGCCCTCTTCTCACAGTTGCTGCACTTCCCAGCTGTCTGAGCCCGGCATGCGGGCTCTCTTTGCCGCTGCTGTCCGTCTGCTGCAGCAGAGGCAGCAGCAACAGCAGCCAAAGTTTCATGCCGTTCGCAGGCCCCCTGTCTGTACAGCCGCGATGGCCAGCGGAAGCACATATCACGCAGAGGTCCCCGACCAGGAGGTCTCGGGGCCTCCTTTGAAGCTGTTTCGCACGGAGACTTCTCTTGGGGCCCCTCGGTCTTCAGATACTGAGAAGCAGGGCCCCATTCGCCCTATGTTTGTTTCTTCACCTTCGCCGGGTTTGGTGCGGAGTTATTCAGCAGCAGATCCTTCAAATGACGCATTTACAGCTTCTCATGAGCTTGACTTTGATGACTGGATGACGACGGTGATAGGGACACTTCAGTTGATTGTTTCTTCCTCCGTGGTAGCCCTGGGTGTATATTTGTTGTTTACCTGCCCCGAGATGTCTGAGGAGGCTCCTCTGTTGTTTTATTTTGTTGCTTTTTCCCTGTCCGCTGAAGTGGCTCTGCTGCTGCTGATATGTATGCTTATGCTGGCTGTACGTGTTATATGTGGGGCTGCTCGAGCCGAGTACACCTCGGCAATCTGCGGCATATTTCATAGGACAATGGAAGGCGCCATTTATTTCTTTTGCGTTGGCTTTGGAGGCACTTTATTGGTGTTACTTGCAACTGGAGATCCTGAAGACCCCCGCGTTCGATACCTAGGAAGGCGACAAATGTTTGTCTGGGCGTTTGTAGGGATGGAGGTCGCTCTCTGTCTCCTTTACTGTCTTCAAACAATACCCACTCTCTATGGAATATGCAAATTTGCCTCTCATAAAATTTACCTCAAACTGACTGGTAGAGATGAACTTGAATTTCAAAGAGGAGATGTACCCGTTGCGTATGCAAGACTGGCAGACTACGACTACTCGCTGCAGCACATGCACAACCCAGCCGCCTCCAGCCGAGTGTACGTACACCCCACCGAAGCAACCACCCCTCAAGCTAGAGGCGGTGAATCCTCCAGGCGCTCTGATGCAGAAGAAGCCCTTCTCAACAGCCGCGTCTAAGCGAACCGTGCCCAAAGCTAGCTAGCTGAGAACTAACCGACAGCTAGCTGCTGAGAAGCAGCAGCTAGCTGCTAGAAAGCAGCAGCTTGCTGCCCCCGCTTTAGTAATTGCATGTAATTCATCCATAACAGTGTGCTTGTGCGGGCTTGAGGAGGCCTCTGCCCTTTAGGTTGTCTCGAAGCGGCGAGAAGGTATAGTTATGCCTGTGGCACTTTCTGCTGCTTCTAACGTTTCAAATCAGGGCTTTAATTTTCTTCTCTTTTTTCAGCTCAGATATTTCAACTCAAAGGCCTGAACACCTGCATGCTTTCGCAGGATGCCGGCACTGTATGTGCACATCATCAACAGCAGCTGCAGCACCTGCAGCAGCAGCAGTCGCTGCTTGTGCTGCCTATCCGTAGCTGTAGATGGCTCTTCTATTTGAGCGAACCGCTGCTAGGTAACAGAAGTTGCACCCGTGAGAATGCAGCAGCAGCACTAGCGATGCAGCAGCAGTGCAGCAGCAATGGAGAATCAGCAAGAACAGCAGCAGTAGCCCCAGAAGTCTTCGCGCAAGAATTGTAGCAGCAATATCAGTGAAATAAGTCTTAGGGTGAAATATAGTCAGTAAAGCCTTGCAGCTGGTTAGGCAGCAGCATGCTGGTCTGCTTTGACCTTTGAGCTGATGGATACGAGGTGTATGTACAGCTCGTTCCTTTGCCTTATTTGAATATCTCTACGACGGCAGCTTCGCTGTTGAGAAGATGCATGCAGAGACGTTCAAAGGCAGCCACGCATTTGGGGCAGTTTCAGAGAGAGATACGTCAGCACCCCTAGCGTTGATATGAACAAACGCAAGTCGCTGCAGTGTATGCGCAGCTCCTCCTCCATCATATGGTGTCTGACCAACTCATCTCCACTCTTTAAAAGAGGCATTCATCCGCAGCAGCTTCTGTAACTCGTACGCAGCTGCTAGGGGGTACAGCAATGCGTGTGTCCTCCAGCAAGAGCAGAGTCTGCTGCTGCTGCTGTGCAGCAGCTACCTGCTGCAGCCGCACCTGATTGTGCTGCTTTTACTGCTGCTGCTGTTACTGTTGCTGCTGCTGCTGCTACTGCATCAAGGAGCTGCTTCTTCAGATCCATTCAAAGCATCCTCGGTATTCCTGCGAGTGCTGCCCTCATTTTCTGAGGTGTGGCCCATATGCGAGAAGCGCTGCGTGCCGTGCGTCAGCTTGGGGATTGCCCTTTGCCTGCAAACAGCAGCAGCAGCACCAATAGCAGCAGCAGCATAGGCACTATTCACCACCCAAAATGGAGCAGCAGCAACTGCAGCGCATGCATCTGAACACGAGCGTTCGTCTCTCAAACGCCGGCAAAAACTTCTGCTCCCGTCTTTTCACTTCGTACCAAAGCACAAAATGAAAGCACTATGTAATGATACGGAAAAATACACATACATACATAGATAGATAAGCATAGGTACAGATACATAGATGCATAAATACATATATATCAGTATAGAGGCAGATAAAGTTGCAGATAACGATATGTAGATATAAGAATACAGATACAGATGTGTAGAAATCGATATATAGATATAGATATACAGACATAGATATGTAGATATCTAGATAGAGAGATACAGATATAGATATGTAGATATTAGATATAAAAATAGTTATACATATAGACATTGACATAGGCACAGATACAGAAACAGATATAGATAGAGATATAGATGTAGAGATATGGATATAGGTAAAGATAGAGAAGTATGCGTTCATATAGATTGGCATAGATGTAGATACAGACAGCAATAGATATACATACAAAACTGATATATCTATATACAAATATGCACATATTCGAGCACACATGTATTACATATATATAGACCCAAATATACACGATAAATTTATCTATCACCGAATTGCGAACAACTTCCACTCTGCATGCAACCAAAGCATTTGAGCAACTCACCGACGGGAGCTCATGGGGCTGCTGGCGACTCCGTGGCTGCTTTCGTAGCTTCTGCTGCCTTCATCAGCACGCGTGCTGAGAGACAAACACCACAGACATTCAAACAGAAAAATAGCTATTAAGAAAGGCCTTGCAGAAGGGCCCCCCGTCGTGGCAGGGCAGGGCACAGCACCGTCCTTAGTGCACATACACTCGGGCTGCATACATCAGGATACACTGAGTGCAGAAGTTATTTTACACAGCAGGCATTTGCTGCTGCAGGGGGGCAGGCCGTATGAATATATGTTTCCGTGTGTTTCTTTATCTCTTCTGCTCGCTGTCTCTGCCATGTGGGGGCTGGGGTGTATCTTCACCTGGAGCCACCGCGGGAGCGCAGACCAGCGCAGATATATCTTTCATTGATTTTGAGGCCCCTGAAGATGGGAGCGAAGCCGAGAACGATCCCCAGGAGAAGCCCCACAATTGTGGAGGCGACGATCCCAGCGACTCCCAGGCTAGGATATGTAAAGACGCCAATTACGGCACCGCTCCCAAGGCCTCCAAGGGCCCCGAGCCAGGCGCCCCGTCGCCCCACAAGAACTGTAGCAACCAACAAACTCATGAGGGCCCCCCCCAGGTACAGGGCCCCTGCCCAGCAAGAAGGAGGCACCAAACCACCGACCAAGCCCCCTACTACCAACCCAATGCCGCCAGCCACCAGCAGCCAGTTGCCGCCGCCTCGGTAAAAGTTTGAAGCCACGAGTCCCTGTACATACACCCCAGCAGTTTTATTGCAAACTCAAATGAAATTTAGCTCATTTGTACAAAAATACGCGTTTTGTGTGGAACGACAGACGCCCTCAACTCACCGATACAAAAATATACAGTAATACAGCTATGCAGATGAATAGAGACCCAGCGAGTAAAGATGCTACAGGGTCAGGGACAGATGCAGCTGGACTAAAGCTATGGTCTACAGACACCAGCTGAGGCATCAGGGGAAAGATGTGATAGACTGCACCCCCCCTCCTTGCTTCGGTATCTGTTTGTTTGTTCGCTTGCTTGTCCCTCTGTTCGTGGGTATCTGACTGCTTTGCCTCTCTCAATTGCGTGCACTTCTGTCTCTGTCGCTGATCTTCAGGGACCCCAGACCCTAAACCCCAAAATCTATTCACTTGCTACTCTCAATTTGGCTGCATCTATCCTGCGTGCGTTTGGTGGTTTAGGGTTTAGGGTTTAGGGTTTGGTGAGTGGGGGGAGCTTGCCTGCGAGTAGAGCGCGGCTGTCATATAGAAAGCAATAAATGTAATTACTGCGTAGAAACAAAACACCAAAATACTCAAAGTCCAGACCGGCCAACACGAACAGTCGTCTAGACAAACGTCAAAGTCCTGCGCAAACAAACAAACAACGCAAAAAAAATAAATAGGGTGACGATCCAGTAAGAAATAAATACACAATTCACAAACAAAGAAAACAGATAAAAGACAACCAAATAAACGGAAAACAAACAAAAGAACAAACGAGCAAGCAAGCAAACAAACAAACAAACAGATAAATAAATCAAGAAAGAGATGCGCAGGTATAAGGATGAATGACTAAATAAACCAACGAACTAACAAAAGGCAAACAAACACAACAAAACACCAACAAGCAATTGTATCCACCAAACAGATAAAATAAATATAAAAACAACAAACGAAACAAAACACAAACATGAGGGGACACAGAGTGGCCCCCTAGAGAAAGACAAACAGCAACGCAAGCGGAGTAAACCCTTTGAATGCCAATATAAAACTAAAGAAGGAAAGCTCTGCACTCTGCAATGGCGCTGTCTCCCTATACTACCGACAGCAGCAATGAGAGCAGCGGCAGCAGGGGGAGCAGCAGAAGCACTAACAGGAACAGCAGCAGTAGCAGCAACAGTAGCAGCAACAGTAGCAGCAGCAGCAGCAGCAGCAGGGGACAACGATGAAGCAGCAGCAGGGCCTACATAGTGAGCGGCAACATGCTTGAGGATCAGCGTCTTCCCTGGAGTGCCCATTGCGCCTGCTGCTCCTGCTGCTGCAGCTTGTGCTGCAGCAGCTTGTGCTGCAGCGGCTTCTGCTGCTGCAGCTTCTGCTGCTGCCGCTTGTGCTGCTGCTGCTTCTGCTGCTGCAGCGTCATCCACCCCTGCACCTCCGTCAGCCGGACTTGCTGTTAGTGGTGGTGCTACTGGGGGCAGCACAGGGGGTGCTACGGGAGAAGCAGTTGCTGCTAGTGTTGTTGCTGGTGCTGTAGCAGTCGCGACAGGGGCTGCTGCAGCAGCAGACGGGGCTGGTGCTTCTGCAGGCGTTTGCACTGGCGTTGCAGTTAAAACAACAGGCTGCCGCCAGCCAGGTGCATCCGTAGATGCGGCCGGTTCTACTGCTGGTGCTGCTGGTGCCGGTGCTGCTTCTGTAGGAGCTGCTACTGGTGCTGGCGCTGCTGCTGCTGCTGGTGCTCCCACTGGTGCTTCCGCCGGTGTTGCTGCTGCTGCAGGCGCTCCTAGTGGTGCTGCCCCTACGGGCGGTGGTGGAGGGGGTTGCGCTGGTGGTGCTGATGTCTGCAACGGCACTTGTGTCGGTGCAGTTGATTCTGTTCCTGTTGCTGGTGCTGCTGTTGCTGCTGCTGCAGGGTCTGATGTTGTGTTCCCAGCAGCGGAAGATGCACCACTCGGCAGTGAAGCAGCAGCAGCGGGAACTGGTGGCGCTGCGGTTCCTGCAGCTTCCGCTGGAGCTGCTGCCTCTGTTGCTGCAGGTTCCTGTGCTGCTGCTACTCCCCCAGCTGCAGCAGCACCGTTACCTTCTCCTTCCAGCTGGGTGACGTGCAAGAAATTCTGGATGGGAGCCCCGTTGTCCGTGAGACCATCCCATGGTTGTTGTTGCTGCTGTTGTTGCTGCTGTTGCTGCTGCTTCAGCCTTGAGTCGTGTGAATGATGACCAACGTCTTGCATGCGGCTGGACAAAGCCAAGGGTCCACTAGCGGGGCCTCCCTGCCTTTGGGGCGGCCATGGGGCTGCAGAAGCTGCTGTACCACTTGCCCAGGCAAGCAGCGCTACGAGGAGAGAGAAGGCAGCGGTCTGCTGCCTTAGGATCCCCCACATTCGCGTGGTCATGAAGGGGAGCAAGCTGCGGTGTTCGAGCTGCTGCTGCTGCCGCTGCTGCTTTTACTGCTGCTGCTGTTGCTGCTGCTCCGGGATAGTTCGATCGCTGCGCGCTTCAGGAGGGGCTAGCTTCCAGATTCGTTTAAGCACTTTTTTCTGGATTTGCTGCACAACTCCGTGATGTACACATTAATGGCGGAGGAGGCAGCAGCAGCTTGTCAACAGCGTCATGGCTGGCCGGTCGGGCGCCGATGCAGCTGCAAGTTGCTCCTAAGGGCTAATTAAAATATCATAGGGAAGTTAGATGGATTGACAAGAGGTTGTTGAGTAGAGAAGGAAACAGGGAGATACAAGAGGCAAAGAAAGTGCCCGACCAAGGTCCGCCGCAGCGAACGACGGTGCGTACTACAGCAGGCCAAGCATACATGCCCGCGCAGAAACAGGAGTTTAAAAAGGGTGTTTGAGCCCCTAAATGAAATAAGCCGGCATAGGAGAAGAAATTAAGGAAGGAGGCGAACAGGCGAAGAGAAAGTGATGCCCAGGTCCCACATGTTGCTGTTGGGAACGGCAGCTAGTGGATCGAGGCACGTCTCGGCAGTGTACGTACACCGGAAACTGCTATTCAAAAACCTTTTTTTGTCCAATAATTTCCCTCTTATTATGTTAATTATGTTTAAAAACAGAGGGAATCGCAGTAGTTTTAACTCCTACGTCAATCATAGACAACACCATGCAGCCGCAAGCCGCCACCGCTTCAGCCGCTGACCATCGGCCTACGCTCGTTGCCGTATTACAGAGGCTGCCGATACATCTTAGAAGGTGAAACTCAATTTTCATATGATAAAAAGGCAACGGTTTTTGTTTTTCGAGCTCAAGCAACGGAAGAAACGGCAGCATCGTGAGAAGACGGGGTCCCACCGCACAACGGCTACACGCATCGACCATTTGCACTGCACAGACACCTGAAGCTGCCAAATAAGCCCCATTTTCAACTCTAGTTTGCATCACCATACTTTTTAACTCATCATTTGCCCAGAACTGCATGCACAGTCCTCACAAGTCTCGGGCCAGCTACCGCCTCACGACTATACTGCTGCAGTTTCGTTCTTCAAGTGCTGCGTTCATCGCTGTCGTCGACATTCAACCATTTTCAGCATATTGGCTATGTAAGACAGCGATTCGCGTGGGGTTGCAGTGTGGGAGTTGTTTAGTGCTAAGGGGCTAAGTATGGTTGGGTGCCCTCTATTACTTCAGCCCGCACATCAGTTCGTTCTTCTGCTTGCTTCGCCTTGGAACGCAACAGTTAGTCGCTAGGGCCTTATAAGCATTTTTCCCATCCCATTGCAGCTGAATGACAGTAGTACTAAACATAGAACAGAAGTGAATGCTGGGCCCCTGCATCTTGTGGCAGGATGTCGGACGCAAGTTACCTCAATTGCAGCAGTTGGATGTTCGTCTCGCCCGTCTTTCGTACTTCCGCTTGCTTGTTTGCTTTATGCAAGCATCAATCAAGACATATGGTGCAACATTTGTGGGCGCTGTGAGGCTTGCACATGCCCGAGTGGCAGCTAGTTGCCACTCGGGAGCCCAATCCAAAGAGCAGCTAGCTGCTCGTTGGATAGGCTTGCTAGCTTGATAGCTAGTTGGCTAGCCCATTGACCTCGAGCTTTAGTAAGCTAGGTATATAGCAGCAATGCTCGAGAGTTCCTCATGAAAGTCAGCATATTCAGTGCCCCATGAGCTGCTGGTTAGTGACCCGTCTGCCTTCCCACATCGCTGCAAGAAGTACTTCTTGTGGAGGAGCAGCCGTCTCGATTTCAGCATTTGCCATAGGTGCGCATAAATGCATGCTGCTAGGGGTTCAAGAATTCTCCCTAAAGACACTGCTACATCACTAACAACATCCGCAGTGGAAGTAGAAGCAGCCGCCGCAGCAGTTCCAGTACACTGCTGCGCTTCCATCAATATGTATATTTAAGCATTTCGTTGTGCAGTCCTCGTGTGCTTGCGGGGAGAACAAGGATGCCCAAATGAAATTTGTCCAGATGCATGAATACTTGCAAGCGTAGACAGGTGGAGGATTTTCCTTTTGGCACATGCGCTTCTCTGCATGCAAGCATGAAGATGGCAAATAATGTATCAGCTATTCATTAAACAGTTTTGCATCTGGAACTATGATGAGCTCCTGTAAAGGCAGTTGCCCGTTTGCGTCCGTCATTAAATCTTTAAGAAGCCAAAACTCATCTATAGCCCCACAGGATCTAAAGGCATAGAAACCTGAGCAGTAATGCACTGCTTTACAAAGGTAACTGCAGGACAGGCTGTTTCCTTCGTCACAGGGAAGAGGATTAGCGAATGAGTTCCCGTGAATGATCTGGTGTTCCTGCTGTGCTAAGTTTAATGAGAAAGCTAGTAGCTATCATTATTAAGCAGAGCAAAATAACGATATGCGGTGGTTGTCGCACGGTCGGTGCAATTTTGTCTGCTGGTTTGTCGTTCGCTTTCCTAGGGTGCTTGATTAGTTGCTCACAACAGGGAGATATACAAAAAAAGAAATGAGTGGAGAGGCTTTTGGTTTCTACTGTAAGAAGGGTTACGAGAATATTTACTTGTACGGAGCTCTTGAGACGAAGTATGGTAGGTAGGGAATGGGAACCTCTGCCGCTGCAGCCTAAAGACCAGCACAAAGGCACAACACAACGCAATAGGAAATAATGTATGCATAATTTAATATATATCCCTGTCGAAACCGGGAGCACTGAGCTTATAATTCTCCAAAAATATCAGTTACTAACACAGTGGTAGCATGGACGTTGTGCAGGAAGAGAGTACTGGGGGGGAAATTGGAAGTAGTTTTACCCTTGAAGTTCGTCAAAAAATTCAAAGAAATTTTTGCGCGTTTGCCTCTAGTACTTACAGTGGGATCCTTGTAGTTCAATAGTGAGAGAACTGCCAGATAGTTAGTAAGACTATGAGGCGCTCAGAGCTGTCTGAAAGGGAGTTGCGCCCTTGTCCGTCCATACGGGAGTATCTTACTCTATCTTATGTAGATAAAGCGCTTCTAATGTGTTTCTCTCGAGTAGTTTCAGAGGGAAACGCTGTACAAAGAAGGAGATGACGTTTGTGCAGCGCCCCATCGACTCTGTTTGTGCTCTCTAGGCCTTTGAGCAGCAGCGAGCGGCAGTTCACGAATTAGGGAAGAACATATCCACTGGAGTCACTTTTTCAGGTTTTTACAAAGGTATCCACGAAGAAAGCCATTAGTCAATGCGTCTGTAATTATTTGGAGCTCAGAGTATGATGATAACACAATGATCGGAACACAGCGGCAGGCCAGCAATAGAGCCCTGCCCATTTTATAGTTAATATCCTCTCCCGGTATTTTTCCTTTATGTTAATCTTTGTTACTAATGCAAATAATAGATTGATTTATGCACAGGCATTGCTTATTCCTGCAAATGTCCGGTGGTCACCCCTGCCGTTTTGCAATGGCAGCATCGACCGCTAGTGCCTGAGGCGGTTCTGAGCCAGACACATCTTTTATTTCACATTTTCTTATTTATTTCCTTTTAATTCTCCTTTTCAATTCAAAAGAAAGAAGGGAAAACGATGGCTGGTGCTGCGTTGAAGTGTTTGGCGCGCCTCCCGCAGCCTCGTGGTGATATTCCAAAGAGCCTTTCGATTGTTCTTTGTTTCCTGTGCAATTCCATTACTCCCCAGTAGTTCATTTTACACCTTCTAACTTTCCTTTTACGGTTCATGGCAGGCCCTTCTCTTCTTTCCTTCCCCACCTTGCCCAGGTGACCCTGCAGCCTCTGTCAAAGCAGGTGTCGTTTTGTGTGCTCAGCGCCTACCTTACGATCACTTTTCACCCAACTTACCCAGTATACCTTTATCTGTCCCTGCTTACCCATTAGATTTTCATGCCCAACGGCTCACAGGCAGAGCCTTCTCGGATCTAAACAGCACAGCCCGAATGCAGCAAAGGAGCCTCAGCAGAGATGTCGGGCCTTAACCCCAGAACGGTAGCTGCTAGTACCGCCCCGCCGCCCCTAGCAGAACCAACCCGCTCCAATGAAAGCCTATCTACGGGGCCCCCAGCATCTGATCCAGGGGTGGCTGGAGGCACTCCAGAAGCACCCTGTCCGCGTGTCGAAGCAGCACAACGCAACTCAGATTGTTTTATGCTCAGACAAGAAGCCCAGCCCCCAAATCTGCCATCTACTCGCTCATACGCAGATTTGTACGCGCAAACTCGAGAGAGAGGAGCAGACAATGCGTGCATTGTTAAGGGGGATGCAGACTCCGTTGATGCTGCTCCCAAGGACCATAGAGACAACTTATATGCACAGAGCTACTCGTCGTTTGTGCTTTCCGAGTGTCCTGCTTTAGACCCAACTGAGGCTTCCCACCAGCTGCGAAAACCCCCAGTTTTTCGCGCTGCTTTCCTCAGAAGTGCCGCACAGCTCTCTGCAGCAGCAGATCGCATCATGGTGTTGCTCTGGCGGGCTTTCACATTCAGACTCAGGTACCCCATCATGACTCTCATAGGCCTTCTTGCTCCAGGTGAGACACTTATTGTGCTTGACTTGAGGTAGGAGGATAGGAGAATTAACTCCTGTAAGAACATCACGTATTGCCTCCCTCTTCCTTTAGTATCTCTCTCGCTCACGAAGCAGATAAGGGGAGGTCTTAATTATTGTGCATTCGTCTCTGGAGGTTCTTTCGTATCTTCAGTCGCCCTCGTGGCATCCGCTTGCACCATTCTTGCCCACTATCAAGACCTTGAGGTAAGCAAAATAAGGACAGTTCTTTCGACAGTTGATGATGGAAGACTGAAAAGTTAGCAAAAGCTAAGGTTGTGATAGCAGCTAGAGTGGTGTGGAGTTGAATCCCGCATGGACGCGCCTATAGATGCATATACATGATACATGCATGTATGTCCAGATATTCGCGCATGCTGCGTGTAGATATCTGTGTATGTCCGTGCATCTCAGATGTACTGTATTTGTATGTGGGGTGCCCGTTGTTGCTGAGTGGACCTGCTGGTGAGAGACGCTCCAACAGAGCTCGTGTCTACTGTTATTCTTGTGCTTGCAGTTCAACTTCGTACCAACCAACATGGCAGACAGCGTGCACATGACCTGCAACTTCGCTGCATACAGAAACAGAACCCGCAAGATGCCACCGGACAGCAGTGAGCTGCAGAACAATTCTCATTTTAAATTCAAAACCCATTTTCTCTGGAGCCGTCCGCAGGAGCCTTGCACGCAATCCCAGACAAGAAAGGCGCAACACTAAAATAAAGAAACGGAGAGGAGGAAGCGGCCGTTCTGTAGTGTACTTGAAGCACCTTTTACTTGCTGCTGGGGTTTATTAGAACTTGTTTTCACATATTGTGAGGTTGTTGAAATACGCAGATCTATGCACTCCTCCTTCGAATCTGATGGCGTCCTTTGGTCGCCAATATGACGGCCTGCATTTAATGTATTTGCCGATGGCGCTATACTATGCGGGCTTTCTCGCCTTCGTAGACAAAGGAAGCTCTGACTGTCAGCAGCTCCGCCTGTTCATGGAACAGTTCGCCCAAACAGTGGCACCCTGTAAGCCTGAAACTTCGCTCCGCGGTAGCCTGTGCGTGTTTGCAGATGTTGATGATTTCGTTCCCTGCATGCGCCATTAGATATCCGTGGATGTTTGTTCATACGTGCTCAGTCCCTACACCTCCATAAGTTTAGGTAATTTGAAATGGCTGCAGCTGTTGCAGGAAGTGCCCTGTATCACGTACTGGGTTGTTTTAACCCAATTTGTCCACTTTCTCTTTTAATATCTCAAAAACGGTAATGCTCGGACTCGAAAGGAGATTTACAAAATTGCGCTTTTACAAAAAGCATCTTATTGAAATTTTTTTTGGGGCTGTTTTTTACAAGTCACACTAGTGCAAAATTAATCTGGAATGATATTTCTATTAGTTACCAAGCTAGGCAAATATGCATCGAAGTAAATAAGCGGTTACTATATACACTAGAGTGAATCTGCTATTGCTATTTTTTGCGCCTGCCTGCGACAGACCTTATGAAAAAGACGAGCGAGAAGGAGCTGTTCAAAACGTTTCCCTCGGAAAAGGCCCTGGACAAGTACCGACGGGCCGCCGCAGCAGAAAGAAAGCGGCCGATTCACTCGGCTTTCATCTGCAGACCAGCAGCCCCAGGCCAACTAGATGTCACAATACGCATGCACGTGCGCCGCGGAACGGTGAGCACAACCAGCCCCGAATCCTGGATCAAACCACACCACCCAACGCAGGTCTGAAGACGGCCAGTCATAGTAGCTCCTCAGCTCACTGCTCTATCATACTTTCGCCGACCCCTGCTCAGTCTATATATATATATATATATTACATCTTTGCAGACTGTATAGTATATAGTATATATATAGTATATATATACTATATATATATACTTGTATATACAGGCTCGTGCCTGAAAGGCAAGAAGTGTACGCATGACGAGTTCTAAGTTTAATAGGGCTTGCTTCGCTCTTTGGGCTCTGTGTTTGAGTTTAGCCTCGTTCTTTCGCGAATGACATGGTGAAATTTCTGCGAAGACACTACACGAGTTACAATTCCACGACATATTTCGGGGGGGCCAATTTTCTCTTGGAAGCGGATGTGATTGGGACGCCCAACGAAGGCAAACCATACGGCCACCTGACTGGGGGCTTCCTGGACCTCTTAACTCTTGCTCATGTATTTAATCTGGATCGAACTAAAGTCCGCGAGCTCCCTGCAGGCTCTCCAGGTACAAATCAAAGAGATGAATTGCAGCAGGAGTGACAGCAAAGGACTGCCTTCTATCATCACTTGAATGCCACATTTTTCTCCACTGGGGATGCTCAGGAAGATGCTTCCCTCTTGCCTTCGCGTTTTGCTTTCAGTTTCTCGGGAATTTCAGCCGCAGTGGGATCGGATATCCGAGGCTTTTTACAGAATGTTCGACTACTTCGGCCGATTGCCCGTGCTAGACAGCGTCGGTGAGCAGATATATACTCATGGGGTAAAGGGAGAAAGTTTTGGGAGGCGCAGGGAATAATCGCTCTAGCCGTTCCTGTAGTTTACTGTGTAGCTGCAGAGGACAACTACACAACAGCTGTATAGCAGCTGTAGAGAACAACTACAATACATACATAGAACAACTACAGTGCATGCAGAGAACAGCTTCAATAGTTGCACAGGCGAACTACCACAGAGGCAGGAAAATACAACAGCAACTCCAGCGAGCAACGACAACAGCTGCAGAACAGCATGGAACTGCAGCTGTGAAGGGACAACGGACACAATGCGACAAGCTCGCTACCAACGTGCATCCAGCCTCAAGAAGGGCTACAGCTCTCTGTCTTCTTTGTAATATATATATTCGGTTTTCCCTTGCGCAATGTGAACCTCCTTAGCATTCTCACGAAACCGAAGAGGACAAATGAAGTCGTTTGTCGGGGAGGCCGAGAGACACTTGTCCGAGATGTTGGCTCTTGTTATTTGCATTTCAGCCGCAAACGATCACGCGACCTCACCCGGTGATTTCAGAATTTGGTGTATTCTCTTTTTCCGTCCAGCTTGTTCACGCATAAGACCATTATCGAACGCCCACGGACGCTTGCGTTCGTTCCCCCTGCATTTTTCCCAAGTCCTATTGTAGTAAAGGAGATTGGTTTTCTTGTCTTAGCTGCTGTCTGCTATCCGCAGGTCTGTCGCAGGCTTACCGCCACTTGCTGCCTGCATGGCTGTTGGGCCCCGGATACGGCGTAGTTCGTCTGTTCACGAAACGAGCAGCAGACGCAGGGTGTGATCTAGCTTCGCCTCCTATGCAGTTGCTGGAGAAAGTGCGTCGTCTGTGTTTTCGTCGTTAGATGCGCCTTAGGGGACACTCTAATACACGCAGCTTCGGTTCATCTCCATCCATCGGTGCCTGCGTATAAAAGGCTATTCGTAAGTCAAGCAAGCCAGACATCAACAACTTTGTCATGCGCTGCTCTGCAGTTGTTTTACTCCCGCACCCAGAAAATGGGAATTGGACTAATTATGGCCGTCGTCGGCCCATTGCAGGGCATACTAAGAAACGTCAGTACCCCTGTGCGCAGGGCGTACAGTCCGATCGATTTTTTGTGAGCCGGGTGCACTTTACGTCTTTTAGAACACCCTAAGGAGACAGTCACAGTAACACGCACGTCTTCTGTTTGAGCGATGGATGCAGTTGTTGTGCGCGCACCCAGCCGGTAGCCAGAATCCGTTTAATGCTCCCCCGAAGCTGTGGCGAGATGTGAAAACGTCAAACTAATATGAGGTTGATGAGTGCTGTGTACGCCGCGTCTTTGTATAGGGAGTCAGCAATGCCATTCGCCCCTGCAACAGTAATATCTCGCTCTGGAAAGCCGCATTCGTGTGCTGCGCCTTTCGTCGTCTTGTTCGTTTGCATTCTTTGGCAAGTAGTGAAGGCGATTATGGTGGACAAGGAGACGGGGTTCAAAGTGGGTCACAGCTGTATTACTATATGACTACTATATGGCATCTCCCACTTCTTGCGCATGCCAGTTTGCACTCTGGTTCGGTTCGACTGCCTCTGCAGGTTTAAATCCTACTATGCTTAGTCAATAAAAATCTTTTCGTCCCATTTTGGAGAGGGTGGGGTGCTGCGTTTTTCTTCTGCTTCAGAACATGCTTAAGATATTGGGGATATCTGATAGGGTGTTGTGGACTTCGTGGTACATGTTCTTCACTCTCTACAACTTGCCTACGCTTGTAGGAGTGGCATTCATTTCGCAGTATTTCGCCTTCACGTTCAGCGACATTTGGTTTATTATTTCGCTCCTCCTATTGGCGCTGGTGGCCTCCATTTCCTTTGCCCTTTTCGTTACCGCGCTGTTCACCGACGGAAACCTTGCGGGTAACTTGTTAGCGACGGCGTAGCCTCTTGCACCTTGAGGAAGGCTAGAGGAGGCTAATTCTACCTCCTTGCCGTGTGCCGACTCTCCCGTCTGTCTTGCTTTGGTTTGCTCTAGAGCATTTTGCAGCCAGTCAATGTCTCCACAGCAGAGTCCATTAGTGGGGGGGTTCGTGCCCATTTTAATCTGGCCATCTGTGCTGCCTGGGCTTTCTGTGAGCAGCAATGGCTGCATGCGCTTGGTATATTCTCATTTGGGTTCCCATTGTCTGCCAACGATTCGGCAGTGCAGCTTGGAATCCGCATTTGCAGTGGCTCTTCATGGTTGCCTGCCCTGCAGCTGCTCTTGGCGTGGTACGTCATAATGTGTCTTCCCTTCTTTCTCACGAGGCACCTGCTGAGGGTCTACAGCACAGAGGAGCTGCGTTCTGCCTTTTTCTTTAAAGGGGGAGCCTGGCACAGGCCTTCTTCTACTTTTTCATTCTCCTCGTGCTTGGTGTGCTTAGGGGATCGATATTGCCTGGATCTTCAACGAGCCGTACATTGGAGGCATTCGCAGTAGTACACTCAAGTGGGAGGTCCCTTTCTTACGCATATATTGAGCATAGAATAATGTGTATTCAATTTGTATAATAATAGGTATCTAATATGTATAACGATCCGAAATAAACGCCATCGCTACAAGCTTGGGCAAGTTATAGGGAGTGAACAGATACCACCTCGACATAATGAATGACTCTGCCTCAGCTGTTCACCAATCGATGCAGAGGAAGTGCAATTTATCCGTTCGCTTACGATGTTCCTTCGGATGTAGTTGTGTTTATTTTTGTCCACCTACAGCACCTCTTCTCTTGGCATTTCACTAGCGGATACCTACATTAGTTTGAGCATAAGCACAATTATGTTCACTTGCCTCGGCGCCTACCTGCACAAGATCCAGCCAAGTGAGTGTGCGGACCCGAGCAGGGAGAAAGGCTTGCCTCAACTGCGTCCTATTTAAATAAAAGACCATCAGCGATATCAACTGCAGGCGTGGAGTGTGGTCACTTCAGTAATGACACCCTTTATCTCAACATTTCTTGGTGCTGCTTGTGGGCTACGCGTTTTGTTACTCCTCTTTCTTAGCGTCCAATGGGAGTCCCGAGCATCCTCTTTTCTTCCTGTCCCCCGTTGTAAGCTTCATTCGCCAATCATCTCGTCTATGCTTCCGACGAAGGCCGCCGAAGAATTGCCAAGAACTCCAAGAGCCCTCAGAGAGCCCCTTCTCCAGAGACAGCAGGGGAGAGGAAGAGGATGGCAAGGTGCGGTTTATCCTTGTTAGCGTGTATGAATTTCTGATGTGGCCTCCAGCATCTGATAGGGTTTATCTCAATCAGCAGCAAAATGACTACTCAGCAACTATGTTAACGCAGTCACCATGAGTCTGAAGTGGGAACGAATTTATTCTTTGCTTGTTTTGTGGTTCCGTAGCCCATCCTGGAGGTGCGTGACGTGCACAAGAACTTTCGCACATGGAAAGCGAAGAAGTGCTCTCGAGGTTCAATTCAGGCTGTCAGAGGGGTTTCCTTTTCTGTGTATCGCAATGAGATATTCGGGCTTTTGGGCCAGAATGGGGCTGGAAAGTCAACTCTGATTTCTGTCATTACTGGGTCGCTTGCTGCAAATAGTGGAGATGTCCTGATAGGTGGCGTATCCGTACGGCAGCATCCTTCCCATGCACGGTGCAACATTGGGTGAGGCCAGTGGGAATTGAGTGCACGAGTAGGTTCTGCGGTTCACTGCATGCCGCTTTTTGCATGGTGTCAACTTTCTTGCACTGGTTTCCTTGCTTTCAGGTATTGCCCCCAATTCGATGTTCTGCTTCCCTACTTGACTATTGAAGAGACTCTCTGGCTCTATGCAGCCCTTCGCGGTATTCCGAGCAGGCGCCGAAGAGAAGAGGTTGCAGAACTCATGAGCATGGTAAGGTGACAAACCGTATGACTCATTTCCTCAACGAAAGCGAGCATGTCGAATTCACGGTAGCTAGTTTAAACAGTGTGGCCTTCAATCCCCAGTGGTCGACTGGACGTTCCTCATATGTCATCTTTTTGGGTCCGTTTGTTTGCATTGCTGGTGCGTATTTTCAGATGAAGCTCTCGGAAATGGCCAAGGTTCAGGTGGTTGCCCTTAGCGGAGGCTGGCGTAGACGAGTGAGCAGCTCTGTTGCCTTCCTTGGAGATCCAAGTATTGTCTTCCTCGACGAGCCCACTGCGGGTAGGTCATCAGCAGTTTCGTTTGCTCCGCTGTTCTGTGGCTACTCCATAAGGAGCTGTTTGATGCATTTGCCCAGCGGATGCACTGCTATGTGGGTAGCTACCTCCATTTGAAAAATTCAGCAGGGAGAAGTAACTGAGACCACCTGAACTATGTTAGCCCCTTCAACGTTTGTCTGTATATATATATGTATATGCATATATATTTGTTTCTTTAGGCATGGATATTCTCTATCGTCGAACGTTTTGGGATTCCGTCCGCGGCTTGAGCAAGGGACGCTGCATTGTCTTGATTACGCACATGATGGAAGAGGCTGACTACCTGTGCGATCGCCTGGCTATCATGGTTGACGGCGTTATTGCATCTGAGGGGACGGCACTGACACTCAAGTCAAGGTGGGAATGCATGCGGGTGCTCACGCGTGAACGAAGACCAAATTTGGTCCAAGTGGAGGAGACAGCTGTCCTTCTTGTTGCTGCTGTCCTTCTCGTTGCTGGCCTTTTATAAAATCCCCGTGCATCGAGCACAGTGACCCATATTGTAACCTGATTGCAACTGGGCGTTCCGCTTGAGCAGGTTTGGCAGCGGATACATTATCTCCGTCATATTCCGGAAGCAGGCTGAACGAGAGGAGCAGAAGGCAAATAAGAAACTTCGGCAGTTGCTGCAAACATTCGAACACCCCCCGGCAATCACAGAGGTCTCTAGACATGAGCTACGAATCGTTTGTCCATTCAGCCACTCTTTTCAGCTGCCACGGTGGGTGCATGCTTGACCGAGAGCTCTATGTAGTTCGTGAATAGCTGATGGTAATTGTTGCCATCTACTGGTGAAACTGTGGATTTGTTGCTATACTGATGTGTGCTGCTGCGCGGTTCAGTCTCTTTTCCGAGCTGGAAGCCAACGCACACAACTATGGGGTCGAGAGCGCTGTTCTCGGGTTTGCTTCGCTTGAAGAAGTTTTCTTGAATGTCGTGAAGCTTTCTAAGGGCAGAGATTCGGAGACAATAAGAACAAACGAAGCAAACAGCAACAGCAGACCCTCGCTAGGTAGCAATGCAACAGGAAACGGAATTTCAGCCAAATCAAAACTGAGATCTGGAAATTACTGCAGCTCATCGCCGGCCTGCAGACTTCCTGCAGTTTATGAAGGGTAGGGGATAGTTCAGTAGCGTGGGGAGGAATATGTCAAATCAGATTCAAGACTTGCTCTCAGCACAGAAACAGAAGGCAGAACCCACTTTGGTTCCTATAGCTGTACTTGCCTGTCATCGTTTCGCTCAATCTCGTATTGCATGCAGGTTGTTTATCGCCCAGCAGTGAGCGCTTGCCTATCATGTACTCTAGTTCCTTTTGACAGTAATCAAAGCCCTCTAACGTAGAAGTCCCATTCTTTGGTCTGTTTCTGCAGAGGTACAGCTGTGATTCCTGCACAAAGTGCATGGCATGAGCCTGCGATTGCAGCACAGCCTGGACACTTAAAAAATATGAGAAGCGGATTCGAACGATGTGAAGGAAGGGCCTCCAGCAGCTCTTTTCCTGCAAATGACACTCCAGGGAATGCAGCGGCCACCTCCCATCACTCTGTAGGGGGTTCCAGCTGGCTGGCGGCCCACCAGAAACGGGGTCGCGCTAGGAGAGGGCTGCTGTGGCAGCTTGCAGTGATTCGTGCACTGGTGGCCAAACGAGTTCGTCTTCTCTATCGTGGTGAATCTTTGTACTTCGTGCTGTAGGTACATTTCCCAACAATTGTCATCAATTGCTGCTGTTCTCTTATCTTGTGTCGCGATTTGGTGCTTTTTTGTGAGCTTTGCAGACTGGGCTCTTGTGACGGTTTCATTTTTTATTCCGCTGCTTCTAATGGGACTGACTCTGTACCTGCGTTCCGAGTGGGGCTACTCATCAGTAGCTGTATACCCAAATCCCGAGTGCACTGGCTGTATAGTGCACACGTCTGAGCTTCCTTTTGCTTTTTTTCACTGCAATGCCTGCGTGCTGTTTCCACCTGCATTCCTGCCTTTCTTTTCTTGAGATAGTCCTTGTCTAGGTTCGTGTGTCTTCTGGTGCCTCGCATAGGAAGTCAGAGCCACGTGTTCCTCTAACTGGACAGCAGCTGTTTGAATATAGACTCCCAAAGAGCATCCACACGGAGGTGCCGTATGGAGGGGCAGGGTGGATGTTAGGGGCCCTTGACAAGTGCTACTCTGTGAGTAATGCCTTTCCCAGTAAATCCTACCTGTGGCCAAGTGGCTATTCATGAGTTAAGAGTAAGTGGATATTTCAAATTCGTTGGCTGAAGAAGACGATGCAACACGGACAGTTTTTGTAATTGTGGATCATGCACGTTTTACGCGTTGTGCTCACACGGCTTTTGCTATGCCTTCACAGCCCTTCATGACTCACAAGAACGTCTCAAAAGGTGTGAAAAACAACGCGGATATGTACAATTTCCTCTTGGATGGCTATTTTGGCCCTCATCCTATTCGATTTGGTGCTTACGTGGCTCCTGAAGGCCAGGATGACATATCTGATGAATCCAGCCAATTAGAAGGTAAGATACACCAGCAGGCAATTCCACCATTCAATGTGCATCCATGCTGTCTCCTTCCGCAAATATTCAGGCGGTCAGGTTGGCTTAAGAACCACTTTCCTATGTGTGTACCTGCATCGAATGCAGTTACCATCTGGCATAACTCTACTTTCCGAGACGCTATTCCTCTGCACTACAGCCATCTGATAAACTGCATAGCGCAGGAGCGCACTGGAGTCCCGGATGCCGTATTTGTCAGGTACGTCATGAGGCAGTTTAATTGCTGGGGCGAGTACATCTGGTTTGAGCAGATGCGCTGAATATCATGCACGCTTTAAACTGCAAGCCCAACTGAACTATGCGCAGCCTCGCACGGAGTGTCCTTGTTCTGTTTCCAGCAACCATCCGTTTGAAGATACCGACGACAAGTTGCTGGATGGTCTTGTGGTTGGTTTCTTTACGGTAATTGCATACTCCTTCGTGGCTGCCGGAGTGGGGAAGGTCTGCATAGTTGAGAGAGTGCGGAAAGTTCGGCATCAACAGATTCTTGCACAGGTCTCTCCGTTTCAGTATTGGATATCTAGCTACATTGTCGACATGGTTCTCCTCCTCCTTCCCTGTTCCATCATTTTTGGCATGATGGTTTGGGTTGACATTACACCCCTGGTAAGCAGAGCCCCGTTTTGGAGGAGCCGAAACGTCAGTGCGAGTGTTTTTGATACCCATTATCGATTCCGGCTTTCCCCTTCCACCACGGGAAGACGTAAGATCTTTATGGCTGATTTCTTCTCTCAATTAGATGTTTACGACGGTAAAGACTTGTTTCGAATTCTCTGCGCTTTGGTTGCTGGATTGCTGCGAGTTCAGGTGGGGCCTCACCAGCGCGGCGTTTTTCTCCTTGGAACGGTGTTATTTTGTTTTTCAGTTTGTCCCCTAGGCTATGCCATTTCAATGGGACTCGAGTCTGCAATGACTTTCGTCATTGTTATGCTGCTCCTGGGGTGGTCGTTCCCCTCAATTCAAGCTCTCTTTACTGAAGTCAGCGGACTGCAGGGCACGTATAGTCTGTATCTGAGATATTTCTTCATGCTGCTTCCCCATGCTGCATTCTGTGAGGTAGGAAGAATATAAGGTGCTTTTCCTACGGCTTACGAGCATGGGTCACCCTTATTCATCACCAAATTGAGCACCGTACTAGCATGGTGGCTAGGGTCGGCATATCACCGAGTTGATATTGGCGGTTCTTTTGGATATGGGGTTTTTCGCAGTTGTTAACTAACCTCGCCATGATGAACCAGCTAACTGATGGCAACGTAAAGGCGAAGGAGTTGGTAAATTGGCTGGAATTTTCGAAGACAGGATGCCCCCTGCTGTATTTAGGATTGACAATTCTGCTGAACTGGATGATCTGCATTGCCGTCGACTGCGCTATCAACTACCCCATGAGCAGAGCGAGAATGCTAACGTCTGTGCGCAAATTCGTGGTTTCTCTAGTGAGGCCTGTACGTCGGATCGTTTACCGTCTTTGTTCCTTTTTTCTCTGCTGCATGCGTAGTCGTAATCAAAACGACCAACCAAGTTTGAGGACAGAGCTTCCTGCAGGCACGCCCAGGAAAGCAGGAAAAAGGGCAATGCAGGCAAACGACGACCTGAGGATTTTCAGGAGAAGAAATGCAAGCAGAAACCTGGGCCTAAATGTGCAAGTAAGCAGTCAAACGCGGTCAAACACTCTAGCTATATTAGCTTGGTTCGTGGCCTCTCTGCTTCGGAGAAAGCTGCGTCTGATATGCATATGCATATCGAGTTACTCAGACTTCTGCCCCTTCCGTCGATGGTAGCACAGAATGATGCGCAAATACCTTACATATGTGCTTGAGATTGAGTCAATGAGCCTGCATAAACTAAAGGAACAATTGAGTCCAGCCTTTGTCGTAAGAGTGTTGAAAAGTACGCGATAAGGGTTTCGTGCGCCTTTCAAATTGTCCGGTGCTGTAGGACGAAGATACAAAGGCAGCAAAGGCAGTTCACCAGCTGCGGTGCCGCTGCCGAAACAGCCAGCCAAGCCTCTCTGCAGGTAGTCCTCTAAACCTTGAGGATGCTGAGAGAGATAAGGAAAAAGCTCAAAGGCCGTCTTCTCTAGGCCTACAGTCTAGTGCCACAGATGGTGTTGAACTGCCACTAGTGGTGCACAGGCTTGAGAAGACCTACCCGCCTCCCATACTGCAGCGTTGCTTCTGTTGCTTCTGCCCGCTAAACAAGAGCAGGGGTCCGCCGTTATGCCGATGCTGCAAACGGCCGCAGCCCACTCGAGCACTGAAGGGCGTTTCCTTCTGTGTGCCTCGCGGGAGTTGCTTTGCATATATTGGTGCGTAAGGCAACACAGAAATTTGTCCGCCATAACTGGCGCATCTGCAGTGTCACTTGCAGCTCAGCGTCCCCCTAGTGTGAATATTCTTTCGCCGTCTTGCCGTTTGTGCGCCGTGTACATCTTTTTCCTTCCACGAAGGGGTTCTTTCCTGGATAATAGGGGTTCAGGTATTAGATGAAGCACCGTCGTTTCATGTTTGCTGTTATGTCTGACTCTACTCGGTTCTTTTCTGTAGGAATAAATGGCTCTGGAAAGTCCACAACGTTCAACATTGTCGGAAGTTTAATGTCTCAGTCTGCCGGTTCTGTTTTCATTTGTGGCTACGACGCTCTCCTGCAAACAGGAAAAGCACGAGCCAAGCTGCGTTACTGCCCACAGTCAGGTAACCAATCGAACACGGCAAAACACTGGCACGCAACAGCTGTTAGTGTTACACAGGCTGTCGTTTGAGAAGTTCAATCCCTCTTGTTTGCTGTATATTGTCAAACAGATTCACTGGCCTCTTTGTGACTCGGGTGGCATAGAATTGGTATACAGCTATTTGTCTGCTCCCGCTGATTATGCTCACTTTACGAGCCATTTTGGTTTTCATTGTGCCTTCTTGTACATTGTCTTGAAGTCGCTATTTTCCCTAATCTGATTCCTAAAGTTGACAATGATGGCTATTGTTGTCAATGTGCTCGCAGACGCCCTTTTGCCTACCTTGACTGGAGCGGAGCATGTGTATCTTTACGGGTGTCTTTTGGGCTTGAGGAGGCATCAACTTCGTGATTTCTGTGCGGATTTCTTCGACGCGATTGGGTGCAAGAAGTACATGCACACTCTGGTCAAATCGTATTCAGGGGGCACAAAACGCAAGCTTAGCCTAGGTATAGCGATGTTAGGGGAGGTTGATTTGCTGCTTCTAGATGAGCCCACCAGCGGTGTGGACCCAGAAAGCAGACAGGTCTTATGGCGCATGATTGAAGAGGCGAAAAACTCCCAGACGTCAGGCAAAGCCATTGTTCTGACATCGCATTCCATGGAGGAGTGCGAAGTGCTGGGTGATCGCGTGGGCATTATTCACAAGGGCAAGATGCTGTGTTTAGGCACCCCTGCAGAGTTGCGATCAGCATACGGACACGGCTACCAAATCGAATGCGTCTTCGTTGCCGCTGCTGTCTCCCGGGACCCCACATTGCCCCGTCGTTTCATTTCTGCTTTGCAAAAAACATTGCCTACTCTCAGCGTTCTGCACCGCATGGCGTACAAAGTCACCGCATCCGTCGCCAAGGGCGCCGTCTCCCTCGCCACCATCTTCTGCGAAGTAGAAGCTGCGAAGGTGCATTACAACTTCAGTAGCAGCCAGGATGCAGAAAAGTTGTCCTTCTTCCTTCGTGGTAATGAGGAAGCTTGGGCGTAACCTGCCACGACGTGCGATGTTGGGTCTACCCAGAAATGTGAATTGTGTGTGAATTGTGTGTGAATCTAGCTGCCTATACCCTATACCACTGTATCTTCCCTCGGCTTCTTTAATGCATGATATATGCTGCTGGAGATACTCTTCTGTTGCTTATGCAGGCTCCCTTTGCTGTGGAGGCCTACATGGTCTCGGAAACGACTCTCGAAGAAGTATTTGTTGAAGTCAGCCTGCGTGCCGATGAGAGGTTGGTGGAACTCTAAAAGGCTGCAATCCCCCAAGAGGGCACCCTGAACTACCATCTTATCATCATGTTCTTGCCTTCAACACGATGTGGAACTGTAAAACCCATGAACGGAGAACAAAAGTAGTAATGCTTTGGGCACGTTTGAATATTCATTTGCCCCCAAAAGGCTCCTGACAGATATAGGCAGGCAGAGAATTCATCCAGATGCTCTCCAAAGCGCGAAGCCAAGCAGACAGTCCTTTCTTGAGTTAGTTCACTCTTGCGCCTTGCTAACTGGGGAAATACAGGTTGGCTCTGTAATATAGAAGCTAGTAGTGAGTATTCTGGATTAGTCTTGATTAGCAACCGTCTTCTGGTGGTCAATAGCATAGCCCCGCTGATAGCTCGCGGAGTCACCAGTCGATTCAGCCAACGGCGCGTGAATGTAGATATCCATTCTTAGAACAACCTCTGGAGTCGGTTTTCGTGTCACGTATTATTTAAACGACAGTCGAGGAGTATATATGCCGTTTCTAGTGGTGCGAAGTGGTTTTATAGCCAAGAAAAAGTTATTTCGCATAAGCACATGCTTTGTAGGCGCGAAGAGGCAACTGTAATGCAGGGCCCATCAGCCGCCCTGAAGCCTATTGAAGGAGAAACAAGCTATTATTATTCAAGGTCCCTGCTACCCTTTCTAAAACTCTAGCCTCTGTACTTCCACCCGTTAACAAAGCAGTAAAATATGCAAGAAAGTAAAATATGCAATAAACAATTCTATTTGACTTTCAGTGAAACCCAGCAAGCAGTACTACGAACCACCGATGGCGTGGCGTTGTCCGAACTAGTATTGCATAGAGAACGTAAGAATTTCAGGGGAAGTAAAGCGAACGAGACCATGTAGAGCTGTGAAAGCGAGTTGCCTCGTTGTGCGTGTGGGCTTATCCACCCTTAGAGGCCTTCGTTTTAGTTTTTCATTGATGGCTTACGGCTTGTGCAGCCGGTGATTTTTTCGAGCACACATCTTCTAGTGCTACCTATACTACTGCACACCAGTTTCAGTGAAGTGCTGCACGCTATGATCATTAACTTAGGGAACGGCTTTTCACGATGAAGTTCTTCGTAGAATTCTAGGAAATAGGGAACGGCTTTTCACGATGAAGTTCTTCGTAGAATTCTAGGAAGTAGAGTCTGTGAGTGAAACTCAAGAGGAATCTATAGTTCCTAATTCAGCACAACAAACATCCAATTATTATAGTAGGGAAGTGAGGATGACAAAATGGCGAGCCGGGCCTGCTGGCTTCTTAGAATTCACTCACTATTTCCACACATTCCGCATAAGGAGCTGCATAGGTGCCTTTTGTGGTACTAAGTGCACTATTCAATAACACTTTTTTGTACGGAACACTTTCGCTGACGTAAAATACGATGCTCCGGCATTTGCTGCGATATGCTGAAGCATCGCGTTTTACGTCACTCTGAGGGAAGACTGAACAGGGGGTATATCGGATGGGGTTATTTTAAAGCAAAAATATATGAAGTGGAAATTTACATGAACGGTTCAGGAGTTGGCAGTTGTATGTTAGGATGGCGCAATCGCGCGAGGAGCGGGTTGGGGTAAATGGGGGAAGAACGCGTCCCTATTTCCACCATAACTCATTATACCACAATTATTTCCTTAATGCTTAATGAATGTGCAGATAAAGCTCACTTTTTTCTCAGCAAAGGAGTCTTTGGAGCAGACTCGAGAGAAACTTGACTGGCTCACTTCTGTCTTGTGATGGCTTGGTCCACTGGGACTGACGCCAGCAGATGATGCCCTAGCCACTGCCTTGGCTCCATCGTTTGCTTTTAAAATTGCTTGCTCTTCTCTTCTGATTAAGTTGCATTTATCCTATTCTTCCTGCTTCCGACGGACGCAAAATGTCGGGTACTCCGTACGGCCTGTCGTCCCAGCGTGTAAGTTCTATGCAGCGCCCTTCGGTGCAACTCAGTCGGCAGCACTTTTGCTTTTTCCCGCACTCTTACTGTAATTCGGTTCGAAGTAAATTTCAGTCAAATTACTTTAATAACAATATAGAGCTGTCTCAGGCAAAGCTTCAAATCTCAAGCCCTGTACTGCCTTGCCTCGAGCATTTTGGGCTCTGGGATGTTGGGGCAAACGGTGGCGGTCTTCACGTAGTCACCCAAATTAGCTGTGCTAAATAATATTTAGTACTTCCTCTTTTTATGCCTTTTTATGCATTTGTCTCGTCAGCCAGTTGGCGCTTGCGCAGTACATTTGAGTTATTTCACTCCGCTGTTGTGGTTTAGGGCATTCGCCTTGGGGTTAGAGACATGCATATTCATGCTTTGCCTATTGTTCCCATTTCCCCCGTTGATTTGTTTCTACCTCTACGCCAAGAAAAATGAGGGCATACTTGTGTGTTTGGTAGTGTTTTGCCTTTTCTGTCTGACTGGCTGCCGTGGTTAGGGTCTTAATTTTGCCTTTTGCTTTGAATCTGCAGCGACAGGAACTGCGAACTGCCTTCCATGCTTTCGACAAAAACAAAACCGGGAAACTGGATGTAGGTGAAATGAAATACCTTTTGAAGTCCATTGGGGTCTGTCTTACGAGAAGAGAGCAGAGAGCTCTGGAAGCGGGTGCGGGCGAAATAATATCAAAAAATTCAACTTCTTATAATCTGCCTACTCTGCAGAAAGCAAACCTCTTCTATCTAAGTTTAGAATTTCGTATTTTGTGGTGGTCTCCGTCTATCTGCTCCTCGGCGACATGGGTTGTAGGGTTCAGGATTAATGTGTTTGTGTTTGCAACTGTGTTTAAGAGATGGTCGTTTTGTGTTTTTGCTTTGGCTGCTGCTGCAGAGTTTGCGGATAGAGGGGAATTTGATTACGAAGACCTCCTGACCATTGGCCAGGTGGTTTATAACGACGTTGCAATTGAAAACGCCCTCGTTCTAGCCCTGAGAAAATTAACTCCCAAAGGCGCAAAAACAGTCCCCAGAACTGTCTTAAGAGACATGTTGCTTAACTTGGGTCAGCTTGCCCTTCTTTATGTTTCCCCTTTCATGTTGTTTGTGTGTGTTGGTGTGTTGCATGTTGGATCGTCTGGAAGCATACATTTCGTAGCAGTGATTTTGCTCTTTCGTCCGTTGCTTCTTTTCTTAATTTGTAATTTTGTTCGTGTTTATTTTCAACAGGCATGGGAGTTAAGCTGACGGAGGAGCAGGTGGACATGTTTTTAGACATTTGCTGCAGTGAAGACGGAAAGCGGAGCGACCAAATTCAAATATCAACATTTATTTACAGGCAAGTGTTTCTATTGTCCTCTAGTCTCCACGCAACAAAAGAGAAACCGCTCTGTTGATGAAAGAAAACAGAAACAGAACATAAAGCAATAGAAATGAACAAAGTACCCGTGTGTGTGTATGTGAGCTATTGCTGGAATCCTTAATGCATTCACTTAGGGCTGTGTGTTCCATTCGAAGGCCCAAATGTAAGCATTAAGCGTATATGATCGCGTATTGCTTTCAGGGTACTCCGTGACTGATAGAGAGCCAAGAGGAGGAGCTGAAGCAGTATCCGAAGAAGCGCATATTTCTATAGATTCTTCGCTGCGCATTCCATAAAGTTTCATTTTATTTTGTCCTTGAATGCGTTTTTTGACAGAATTTTTTTTGGTAGCAGGTTCGACCTCTGTCAATGCCGCTGAGTTGTTTTCTGCACATTTTTTTTGAGGTTAGATGGAGGGGCCATCTGCAATAATAACGACCAAACACAGGCCTTGATATGTGTAATGATTACACAGCGGCCACACTTAATATGTAGTATGTGTAACTGCATAAAATTAATTTTTCGTAATTTTACACCGAATATAAATATTTTCAATGCATTAAAAGGTTTTTGAAAATACTCAGTAGAGCAGAGCTTAATTGGAATGCCTATTATACAGAGGCCGTACTTCATTTTTAAAACAATAATAATTAAGCAGAGGCGGCAATATGCAATAATAATGCAGCTCTCATGGGGGCGGCTCTGTCTCCGTGAGGGTCTCCGTCTGCTAGCATCAGTATAGGTATTAATGGATGCATTTGCTCTGCCTTCTCTTTGAATACAAAGAGGCTATTTCTTCTTCACTACAGACAGACGACAGGCCCGGACTTCTCTCAGAGGCATCCAATTCAAATTTGTTGGAGTTCTTACGTAGCCGCAGCGCCCTGCAGCTGCGGAAGCTGCAGCTAGCTGCTACTAGCTGGGGCTCAGTGCTGCACCTATTGTAGCTTTGCTGTATCAGCTGCGATGGCATTGCTGTCTTGTAGAAAGAGCAAAGGTTTATAGACACGCAGACACGCGACAGAGGGACAAGAGCGAGAAAAGAGGAAGAAGTAGAGAACAAAGCCAAGTTAACAAACGAAGGCAGACAGACCTTGAGAGCTTCATATAGAGAAGTCCGCAGAGTGGGCGCTGTAGTACAAAGACACCTGCAACGGCTGCAGCACCAAACAGACACCAAAACAAATGTAGAATCCGTTGCCACGCGTGCATGCACCCCGTAGCATACATGCATGCAACATGCACGCGAACATGAATGCCTTCATGCATACTGATGCACACTAACGGGAGGCCCAGAGAAGAGGGAGTTGCATCTATCGGCGTTACCAGCTACTAATTATCACTTTCCGCCGGCTGTTAATTCACAATAGTTATTGCACTATCGTGGCACAGAACTCTTCTAATGGGACAGCAAAAACATAGGACAGAGGGGAAACGCAGTGCATCGGCGGTAGCACCAGAAGCAGTAGCAAGCGCGGAAGCAACAACCGCAGCGAAAGGAGCAGCCGCAGCAAAAAAAAAACCGCAGCGGCAGAGCCAGCAGCACAAGCAGCAGCAGAACGAGCAGCAGAAGAAGAATCGATATGAACACCTACAGAGGCAGAGACGCTGGCGGTAAGGGAGGCGAGACTGCACTGCAGCGCCGAGAGGCCCAAAGCGGGTACTTCTGTTCGCGGCCCCAAATCTCCTCGATAGACTGCTGGTCCTTCTGCAGCTGCGGCAGCAACCGCAGCTGCTGCACCTTGGCGCGTGAAGGCGTTCCAGTCCCCTCGGCTTCTCGTGCTGCTGGCCTCTGTCCAAGCAGCAGCAACAGCAGCGGTTCTGGGGCTTGTCTGAAGAGGGCTGTTCCATTCAAATGCTGCAGCGCTGCTGTTTGCTGAACTCTCCGCTGCATTATTTCGTTCTCTGTCGCCCCTTCTGCTGGTCTCGAGCTGGTCGTCTGCCTGTCTGTACACCCGGCGGCCTGTCTTTTTCTGCTTCTCTTTGTCTGTCTTTGGTGGGGCCCACATGGCACTGACAGAATCAAAGAGAAAGGAGGACCCGTCTAGGCTGGAGATACTGTATTCGCGCCTGCTGTCTCTTTGCCTTGACCTTCTTTGTGTCCTCTCCCTTCTGCTCAGGCTCCTGCTGCTGCTGCTCTTGCTGCTGCTGCTGCGATGCAAGGTGTCTGCTGTGCGGGAACTTGCGCTGTGCTTAGGCCGCAGGGGCTTCACCCCAACGGTGCTGGTTGAGGTGTCTATACACTTCACAGGAGCAGAACATTGAAATGCCATTTCTCCTTTTTTGCTGCTGCTGTTCAACATCTCGCCTTTGTCGCTAGGGGATTCGTGCGCTTGCTGATACATTCCGCGACCCAACAACAGCGGCAGCTGCTGCAGCAGCGGCTGCTGCTGCAGAGGCTGCTGTACTTGCTGACTGGAGTCATTTGCAGGCTTGGGCTTGGGTTTTCTTTTGGGGGGTTTCCACTTTGTGTATTTTTCCCTTAGAAGCAGCGCCAAAGGAATACCTCTGGGAGCCCCCGCCTGCAGGCGCAGCTCGCTGTTATTCACGCCGCTGCCTCTGCTGCTCTTGCTGCTGCTGTTGTTGCTGCTGCTGTCGTAAGATGAGGACGTTGTGCGGGTTGCATACGCCCCTTGCGCTTCAAACGAGTGGTCCACTGGTCTTCCAGCTGCGAGACCTGCAGGTGCGTCTCGTGCTGCATCTACAGAGCGCCCCATTGGGCTGTAGCTTGTGCGTTTCGGGTGTATGCTAAGCTTCGATAGGCTTTGCTCTTTACTGGCTCTAGGCTGCAGCAACACCTCATTTGAAACGACTTCATCGTGCAGCGAGGGTATTGCGGCTGACCGCCAAAGTGGCACGGCAGCCACTTGCGCGCCTGCTGTTCTTGCTGCTGCTGCTGCTGCTGCTGGGGCCCTTGTGGTAGTTGTTCCTGTTGATGGTGTAGTTGCTGCTGCTGATGTTTTAGATGCGGGGAGGGGCGGCGGATTCTCTAGCCGATGAAAGGGAGAGGAAGGGCCCTTACATCTAGTGATCTCGGCTGACTTCGCAGCAGCAGCAACAGCTGCAGCAACCTTGTCCGCCGTAGCAGCGGATATAACTGCAGCAGCAGGAGTAGCTGCAGCGGCAAGAATAGCTGTAGCAGCAGGAGTAACTGCTGCAGCAGGAGTAGCTGCTGCGTCAGGAGTACCTGCAGTAGTAGCTGATGCAGCAAGAGTAGCTGCAGCAGCAGTCGCTGCTGCAGCAGTAGATGCAGCACCAGAAGTACCTGCAGCAGCAGCAGGAACAGAAGGAGCAGCTACATCCGGGTCGCTAATACTGGTATTGGAGGGACTCTGAACGTTCAGGCCGCCCGATGAGAGCTCATAGCCTTCAAGGAGGTCCAAAGACACCTGAACAGCACAGTCTTGGGTGGGTTTCTTTGTAATGCTGCTGCTGCTGTTGGTGTTGCTGGTGCTGCTGCCGTTACTGTTGTTGCTGCTGTTGGTGCTGATATTTCTACTGCTGCTGTTGTTGCCGCCCCTTCTGCTATTGGTGTTGCTGCTCTTGCTGCTGCTGACAGAGTTGTGGAGAGGTGCTGGAATGCTCTTGTTTCTGCTGTCGGCAGCGTCGCAGTACACAGCGCTGATCTTTGAATCCATATCACTCAACGAGGCTACTGCTGCTTCTCCTGCTGCTTTTGCTTCTCTCTGTGGTTGGAGTGGCGGCAGCTGTCCCTCCTCAGGTTGCTGCATTTGTTGGTGTTCCGTTTGTTGCAGTGTACAGACAGTTGAGCGACCTTCGCTGTCTGACGACGAGTCTCTTCTGAGGCACCACCGCATTTGTCGTGATGTCCAGTGCTGCAATGAAAAGTCTTCGTTGCTGTTGATGCTGTGTCTGCTGCTGCTTCTGCTGTTTGTGGCTGCCAGTAGGCCTGAGGTGTAGGGGCTTTCTTGGTTTGATTGGTCGCCGGCCTTGCTGCCTCTGCTGCTGCTTCTGCTGGTGCTTCTGCTGCTGCTGCTGCTGCTTTCCTCCCAGAGTCGGCGTCTTTCATGAAGACTGCTCTGTGTTGTGGAGCTAAGAAAAATGTGCTGCTGCTGCAGCATCTGTTGCTCCTGGGTTTCTTTATTGCTGTTGCTGGAGCGTTTACTGGCTCTAATGCGCGCCAGCAGTCCCGCTGCCGCTGTTGCTGCTGCTGCTGCTGCACCTGCTGAGGGCGCCTGTTGAGACAGCAAAGCACCTGCCGGAGCCGCAGCAGCGAACCGCTGCTCTAACGCGTGCAGCTGCTCTGTCTCATGAGCCTTCCGTGTCTCTACAGAATTTCGTTTGTCCTGCAACTTCTCCCGCCTCTGTTGCCGCTGGCGCAGCAGTTGCTGCTGCAATTGCTGCTGCAGCAGCAATTGCTGCTGCTGCTGCAGCGGGCTGCCAAGGAGCTGCTGCAGGTCCCCAAGAAGGGCATGAGTGTGTCCCCCAAAGACAAGAGGCGTGACAGGTGCAGCAGCAGCAGCAGTAGTGGTTGCTTGATTGTGAGGTGTATGCAGGCTTCTGGGGCGTACAGATATGCTCCGAGACGAAACCTTTCTGATACTGCTTCCAAGAAATATGCTCCGCCCAGAAATCCGCGGGCGGCGGCTCTTAGTGCGCTGCTGCTGTTGCTGATTGTGTTGCTGCTGTTGTTGCTTCTGCTGATGATGTTGCTGCTGCTGCTGTTGTTGTTGTTGCTGCTGCTGCTGCTTCCTCATGCTATCACTGCTTGCCACAAGCCCAGGCACGTACGAAATGTCTTTGTGCCTCTCCGCGCCGCTCCAATGAACCCCTGGAGATTCGACAGTTGTTGCAAAAGTCATCTTAATTATTTCAATGCATTTATTAAATTCATTTATTGAATGACTTTTATTTAGCGCGTTTTTTTCAATGCATTTTCTCGTTGGCCTCCTGACGCGCCACAGGGACCCAAATGGAGTACTTCTACAGTGTATGCACAGTTCTGGGGAAATTGCAGAATAAATGAAATGCTTCGTGATGTTGCTGTCAGAATTATTTGAATTTATACTTTCTTCTCACTGCATTGCTCGTTGCAAATAAAATGCAACTTCTGTCTGACGGGGCGGGAGTGGTAATAGAACGCACAACTCTGGGTTGGCTTGAATTTCACATGAAGTTCAAATGACGAAAAAATCAAAATTTAATCCATTTTGCAGATATTTCTGCATATTTTAAGAGGAAAGGGGAAAGAAATACAACAAAGGACGGGGGTGGTTATGAGGTGGGGTTGCTGTGAAGCAGGGAGAACCAGATAAGGAATGAAGATGGAAGAGAGTGCATCGAAAGCCTAAAAATAAATCAATAATCTAAAGAATGTTTTTTTGTGTTAATGTTATCAGAACTCCTCAATTCGTTTGAAAACAACATTGACGAACTGGCTGCTAAACTCAGAGCGTCTGCTGTAGAGAGCGCGCTTGCCACGTTATGTATTACAATTATTAGTGTTATTCATCAATATATAATGATTTTTTAGTATTGTTGTTACGTTAACTACCCTTTGCCTTCATCACTATCATCATATATTTTCTGAATTCTTAGAATTATTAGGCTCATTTTCTCCATGTGTATTGTAATATTATTAGACGTTTGATCGTTTGCACTGTCACATCGTCGACTATGATAGTAACTGTAGTACCTTTAGTACAATGCCTAGCCTTTTATTATTATTGTGCTAGGTGCTAAATCCTGGGCCCCTCTGTTTTTCCTCATTTTTCCTCCTTTGGGCTGCAAGGGAACCCAGGGAATGACAGTCAGCTGTTTGAAAACGACCGTGTCAGTCTACTACATGAAAAAATATTCATATCGCTTTCGAGAGGTGCCTCAAATAGTTATGAACTTCACCTTTACTTTTGCCACGGGAGAGCAACGACCTGCAGCTCCGCCCTCTGCGCAACCCTAAACCCTAACAACACAACTCTGCAGCTGCATACAGCTCACTTCGAGTTAAATCCTGAAAACTCAACAACATAACTAATTTTAAACTTTGCTGAAAAGAAACAAGCATGAGGAAGTTCGTGAACACGAAGCAAACAAACGATGGCCACAGGCTGAGACACCAGCGAGAGCTGAGAGCTAGCTAGCAGTATAACTAGCCGCTGGCTAGCCAGATAACTAGCAACTTAAATAGTTTCTAGCTATATAGATAGATGTGTGGCTAGCTCGCTACTCCCTAGGTCTCTACAGCTTTTGGGATGAAGGGGGGGGAAGAGCGCAGTATCACAATGTCTCCCGTGTTGCCAGTATGAAGTCAAACACTTTAATATTATGTTAGCTATTGTTGCAGGCAATCCAGCGTTCCATCGACGTTTGATTTGTTGCTGTCGCTAGCTTGGCTGTTGGTTGAATTCGCTGCTTACCACAGCGCCTTCCCATCAGCACCTGTGTGCTCCCTGCTACTGCTCTTTTCCCCTTTCGAATTCTGGCTTGCTGCTGCAGTTTGTGTTGCACCCGTGGGGGTCTTGCTGCTTCCATTTGCAGCGGGGGATCCTGCTGCTGCTGGAACTTCCCCGTCATTCTGTGCAGCAGCAGCTTCTGCCACCGAAGGCCCCTTTCCTCCGGACTGCTGCTTGCATTCACCATCCTTGGTTGTCGTAGGATATCCAGGATGACCCTTTGCAGTTTTCGCTGCTTTCTCCTTCTGACTTAAAACGAAAGAAGAATCTGCACAGGAGGAGCCCCTACAATGGAAGGGCCCCTCCCTGCAGGGCCCCCCGTGCATCTGCTGCTGCACTGCAGCGCAAGGCTGTGTTGATGCGAAGAAGCAACCCGTGTTGCTGCTACCAGGGGGCCCTATCCAGCCGGTGGGGGCCCCTGCATGCCCACTCCAGTACACGCCTGGGGGCCCCCCAGAGGGAGGCGGAGAGCCCATATGGGGGCCCCCTAAAACAGGTTGCCCGGGTTGCCAGATAGAGGGCCCCCCGTGTATCTGAGATATCGAGGCCCCCATGTGCGCATGGGGTGGAAGAGAGACTCCAGCCTGTTGGGGCCCCCCCATGAAGAAGCAAGGATAAGAAGGAGCCGTTGCAACGAGAGGGTGGAGATGAGGCGGCCCGTAGACTGGGTGCCCAAGGTATTCGGAGCCCTCATGTTGACAAACCCCCCTCTGCTGCCATGACTGAGTTAGAGAGGGAGGGAGGTTGTCTTGTGTAGGGCTTTGTTGTTCCTGCGGTTGTCCTGCGCTTATCTGTGCTGCTGCTGCTGCTGCTGCTGCATGCGGTGCCCCCTCTCCTTGTTCTGTGCTTGTCTGTGCTTGTTGCACGCTCAGCGGCAGAGTGGCATTTGCATGCAGGAATTTGCAACTGCCTTCTCTCATGATTTTGATGGGTCTTTTTCTTAAGAACTCTGGCATGCCTGCTCTCAGGAGCGCAGAAACTGTAGGCAGTTGATAATGCTTGCAGTAGGTGTTACCCATCTTATAGCGGCGGGGTCGGGTGTACAAACTGCGGTAAGAAGGCCCCGCCACCCCCAAGCGGTTGCCCCCAGACAGAGAAAAATAACGGGGAGACACAAGAGGAGGAGGGGGGTTCAGCCGCGTCTCAGAAGTCACCTTAGCCCAACGACTGTCACCACTAACCATCCCCCAACGGTGGTCTAAACCCTCTGCAAACGCCATACACACGTACATTCCCAAGCATATATAAACATATATATATATATATACATATGGATGCATGCAATATATATGTATGTATATATATATATATATATATATATATAT